TTGCTTATCCTGGTAGGGACATGTCTCATTTCTAGCTATTAGTTTAATACTAGACCTAATTTAAAAAAATGTATGTTATTCTCCCACCCATACTGTTTAATCTCTAACAGAAGGTAAATTGAGGGGGGTCCTCTACGCTGGAGGTCCATGGTTGCCTCCTCCATAGAACTACCCAGAGAGGGTGGGTAGATAGAGAATAAATTAACACCAAATGATGATTCATGTCCAGAACACTTGGGCAACTCTCCTTATTTATTAGAAATGAGCCCAGAGCACAGAAGATACTGATGGTAACTACATTTATTGAACATTTTCTATGCTCTAATTCTATGTTCTAGTTGTGCTAGAAACTGTGCCAAGTGCATTTTATACCTGTATATCTCATTTAATCTTCACAATAACATTATCATTCCCATTTTAGAGATGCAAAACCTGAGACTCAGAAATTCCGAGTAACTTGTCCAAGGCCACACTGCTGACAGGTACTACGGCTGGGACCTGCACCTGATTCTTAATTCGCTCTTTACCACTCACCAAGCTCTTGATTGCTATTAACCTGTACACATTTTGGTCTTAGCCACACTATTGGTTATGTCATCATGATGCTTCTGGTGTTTCTTATTTTGAGTTGTCATGTTTAAACCATTTATATAGGGTCTTAAGCATCTGAAAATATTAAAAGAATTCAGTTTTGGATAAGGCTCATAGCAGTGTTAAAGCTACAGGCCAAAAGAGCAGGTACTCCACAGAATTCCCTGTGAAATGCATATGTAATCCAAGGATAGCAAACGCTCATCACCCAAGATTCAATCCAAGTTGGCTAATACAGTCATAGAGAGGGTGACATTTGGCTTCAAAACTCCCAAGTCGACAATAAGAAATCCAATTGGCAAGACAATAACAGAGAGAGTATTCCAAAGAAAGATAGTCATTATGGAAAAGTCGAGTCCAAAGGCAACTGGGTTTGCCTTGAGTGGGAACAGCTAACATCTGGTCGTCTTTGTGAACAAATAGGGCTCCTGAAGTAGTGGAATCCTACCGCTCCAGGCACCATGACTGATGACCACTCTTTCTGCAAACCATTAGTTTCAATGGTTAGAGCAAGGGTTACTGTGGTAGAGAAGAATTCTGTGAGTTTTCATTATTGCTTGGGTGAAAGTTAACTGTATGTGCAAGGAACCCAATAGGAGTAAAAGATAAAGTAATGGTAATATATTGGGGATTTAGTTATTCTAAGATATTGAGGCAATTCAGTTCAACTCAGAAAACAATATTGAGTTTCTGGCTCAAATTATTTGGAGGATTCAAAGGGGAAATTCAACTAACAGCGCTTATACCTTTGGAGAGTTTGGGCACAAATAACTACACTGTCAAACCATTAACTAACGAAACAATTATTATATACATGAGCATAAGAATGTGGTTCCAACTGCTGAGTTCCACTAGATAAGAAATTAAAGTTATTGCATGTTTTCTTAATGGATTTATTACAACTATCATAAAAGAAATGTGGGTCAAAGGCAGGGAATGTTGTTGAAACAACATGCGCCTGCCACAGACAGGTATGTATTCATCAGAGTAGTAGTTGCCTCCAGGTATTTTCTCCAGGATCAATTAAACAGGAAAACTGCAGGAGCCCCACTGCAAATCCCGCCAATAGGAGAATAATTGTGCTGAGTGACAATGCTATAATATTATGTCACTGTCATTTACGTTTCAGGGTTTAGCTGTGGGAATTCTGCCAGACAGTACCATGACATTACCCTCACACTGAAGAGTTCACATCAGGATATATGTTGCAGCAAAGCTGAGTGTCAGTATTCTTAGATTTCTTTTTCTCTTTAAATTTAACGTAATATAAATTAAACATGTTTTATCTTTACCCACTTTAAAAAAATTCAACAGTTTTGATTATAATAACAATATTGCTTTCCCAATGCTTTATAAAATACAGAAAAACAAGAGAACAAGTTATCAATAGGCTATTAACGTTTAGGTATGTTTCTTT